TTGATCGCTTTCTGTGAAAATCTATACTGATTTCAAGGATGTGTACTTGAATAATATTACACTATCGCATCCTCCCCGAATGTTTTTGTGGTGATTAATTTTCATTTATATTTTATTTACATGAAATCTCTCTCTCTCTCTCTCTCTCTCTCTCTCTCTCTCTCTCTCTCTCTCTCTCTCTCCCCAATATGATATGGACCTTTGTGAGTACAATAGTAAGCATTCACGTCATTACACGGTAGGTGGCGCTCGTGTATTATCGGTTATGCGCTGGAGCTAAGTATGGCGTCGCGGTCATATTTGACATGGAGCGTTCCTAAATTGAGGGCTCAATTGGCAACAAAAGGTGCAAGTGTTGGCGGGAGAAAAACAGAACTTATTGAAAGGTATTATATATTTCATAAAAGCAATTTTTCTGACATCGATATCATTGATGATGCTGAAGTTAAGGCATACAAAACAACATAGTTTACTTCTTACTCGCAATGCGTTTAGTATTCCACCGTAAATTAATGAATTGAGGTAGTAAAAAATGAGCATTTTCTTCTAGAAAAATAAACACAAATTCTCTTATTGCCATCTCCATAGGTGCTGGCCTCGTTATGCACAAGAAAATTACAAATAGACTATGTTGTTTTCAATAAATTATTGTACCGTATTTTAAATATATATGGGTCATTACTGAAATATGGGACATTACTGAACTCAGGGGCGTAGCTTGAACTAAAGTTCTAGTGAGGCAAAGCTATTGCAGCCGGGGGTCTGGGGGCCGCCTTAGGCCCCCAGCAGGTCTAGGGCGGAGTCCTGGTGGGGGGTTCAGGGGGGCGAAGCCCCCCCCCCCCCCGACGGAAATTGAATTTGTTGGTTTTAGAATGTAAGAATTGCACTTGTCCTGGACAGAAATTTCGTGATTTTTCCGGTTTTATGACTTGCAACTTTCATATGATACAATATGTACATACTGTATTTCAAAATATTTGATAGAGTAAAAAAAATGTTTATTCAAACTTCTTACTTATTTCGGGAAAAAAAAATACATATTTCATTTATTTATTTTTGAAATATTTAAATATAATTGAATTGGACATCATTTGGAAAGTTAATAAAATTATTCATTAGTTTACAGGGTTTGTGAAATACTTGATGCCGATTCTAGACTTTCATTTTTCCTTTTCCATATAAAAAGGGTGTCAACTTTGCCTGCCCCTTGTTTTGTGGTCCATATTTATTTTTCCAAAAAATACTTTATAGAGCCCGATCCCATGAATTTTGACTCAGAACCAGTACAATAACTTATAGATTTATTTAAATGATGATAAAGAAAACAATAACTATGTTTTAAGAAATAAATTAAAATATTTTCTGCGATGAATTATCAATTAATTTTGGGAAGGGGAATGTTGCTGAAAAATCTAGTGAGGCAGTTGCCTCATTGCCACAATGGAAGCTACGCCCCTGGAACTGTACACCTGTTTAGTACCTAACTTTATTGAAACTGCTCTTATTCTTGTAATTAATGAAAATCGAAAATAGAGGTTAAAGTGTTCGATTTATCTAAAATTTTGTAGATTGAAAGCATATGACAGAAACAGAGATTTTCAACCCCCTCCGCTAGAAAGTGTCCCTACCCCTGTATCTGTGGGCTGGCCAGTGTCTGGCTACCAACAGCTCCAGAAAGAACATAAAGTTTTCCTGCCAAAAATAACTACGGAGCAGATAAACCAATATTTTGTTTACAGAATAGCAGGTATGTATGATATAATACTACTTCAGATTCAAAACTATAAAGATTTAAAGTTTTAAAGAGTGCATTGTAATCAGTTATTGCAATCTAATTAACAACATACCTATTAATTAGGTATTATGATTGAAAACTTATTATAAATATAGTTTTTTTTTTCATTTAAAAACTGTTAAACCATGTATAAGTACCCATATATATTTTTTAATTTATAAAATACTTCCAGGTGATAAGCAGTTTACGAAAGACATTAAGGCAGTGTCCAAGGGTTCTGCAATGTTCCAAGGGAATAGAGTGCAGGCATGCTCTGTTGTTGTGAAAGAAAATGACATCTACTTTACGGGGATTGTTGGTGCTGCGATGAAAAATAAGGTATCTTTAGGAAACTAATATTGAAGTCTAGTTGTGACAATATGCAAGAATTGAGTTTATGAATGTATACAAAGTGAAATAATTAAGCAATTGTATATTCTGTAATCTTAAGAAACTAGCCTTTTAAAATGTTATATTACATTTAGGTTTCTTATAACTATAAACTGAAAATGGACAAAAGGACAGGAGATGCCATAAATAGTGACTGCGAGTGTCCGGCAGGAAAAGGACCCCATGGGACCTGTAAGCACCTAGCTGCTGTCATGCTCATGCTGCAGCATTTTACAGAGACAGGGAATGTTGCTGTTGATAAAAGTTGTACTGAAAATCTGCAGCTTTTCCACAAACCAAAGGCAACTTACCATGGTAAGAGCAATTGGCCAAAAAAAAAATGAACATTTTCAAAATTTCATTAAAATGAATTCCAAAAATTGTGTTAAGAAATAAAATTAGTTGCAAGAAATTCAACAATACATCATATCAAATTCAAAAATAATTTTGACAGGTTCTTATTAGTAAGCTTTTGTAGCGAGTATAGTTAATGAAGTGGAAATGCATGTAAGTTATATTTCGAAATGGTGATTTTTATAATTAGGTGTCCCAGTGGAGGCAGAAAGTATTCCATCAAAGAGAAAACTGTCTGACGAATCTTTGGAGGATCCACGGCCAGCAAAATTCAGAAAAATGCCAGGTTACCAAGATTATGTTCAGAGTCAGCTTATCAATTACTGCTCTATGACATCACAAGATATTGCACTCAGATATCTCTTTAAAAAGGCCGATATACAGGTGCCATTTTATTTTGCATTATTTTTATACTGCAATGTATTTACACACATAAACCTCTAAAATTTATTCATCTTCTCAAGTATTCACCTCATAAAATTAGATTTATTCTATAACCCATATACATGTTTTTGTTTTTTTTTTATTTCAGGTTGAAGCTGTTGATCATCATTATACTAGTATACCTATTACAGAGTACTGGGTGGATGAAGCAAACAAGGTTTGTAAACACACTAATTAAATGTGTCACCGGGTTCACAGGTGCGTGAAAGTCAGTCAGTACATCGGGTCTCAATAGCTCAGTGGTTAGAGAGCTGGCACGGTACGCCAGAGGGCCTGGGTTCGAGTCCCGGTTGAGACTTCATTTTTCACCACCTGTGACACATGTATATCTTTTATCTTTATCAGTAAGAATACAATGTAAAATGTGGCTTAAAATTTGATTTTCTGTTAAAATCTTTCCATTAACTTATTAGAATAATCTGTATTACTAAATGTGTAGTAGATATTAAAATGGAAATTTAATTGGATAAAAGAAATAAATATGCATAGATGGAAAAATAAATTTCAAGGTACATCGAAAATCCATTTATTGGTAATGCTTTTTTTTTAAATCAATAGGTGACTGAAGAAGACATAACAAAGATTGAAAAAGAAACAAGACAACAAGCATCATGCAAACTATGGTTACACCATAGATCCTGGCGTCTTACAGCTTCAAGATTTGGAGAGCTCTGCAAGTTGACTTCAAGAAGAAATATCACCAAACTTTGTCAAAATCTGTTGTCTGTAAACAACTCTCTACAAAACAGTGCTTTGGCACACGGTAAAAATTGCGAGTCAAAGGCATTGAAGTCATTTGAGTTAAAATATGACTGCAAAGCAAGATCTGTTGGTTTCTGCATTTGTGCATCTAAACCTTTTCTAGGTGCTACACCCGATGCTTTATTGTATGATGATTGTCTTGTTGAAATTAAATGTCCATATTCAGGAAGAAATGAAAAGATTCTTCCAGGCAAGCATTTTAGATTTTTGGAGTATAATGAAACAAATGAAATCATCTTAAAAAGAACAAGCAATTACTATTATCAAGTACAAGGGCAACTTCACATATGTCAAAAAAAAGTTTGTTACTTTGTTGTATACACTTTCAAAGATTTGTTTGTTGAGAAAATCAAGTATGATGAAGAATATTGTACTGGGTCACTCATTCCAAAGCTAGAAACATTCTACACCAAGTTTTTCAGACCTTTTATTGCCTCTACTCTTTGAAGTATTATGCATCAATAAGAAAAAATATTTGTTTTGAGCATTGCAATCCACTTATATTAATAGGTAATTTTAAAACTCATATCATTACATGTTTTGATAACATCATGATAAACTTTTCAATATAGAAGTACCTGGTAAATTGAATATAATCTATGATTGTAAATTCTATTGGCTCGCCTGAGCTTAAAACCCAGTGTGAGCTTTTCTGATATTTTGTCTGGCATCCGTCTGTCTGTCCGTAAGTCTGTAAATTATTCACATTCTCGACCTCTTCTGAAGAACCACCTGGCATTTAAATTATTATTGTTTTAATTAATTAAGATAAAACTTATAGGGATATAATCTTTTATTATCTTTCAAAGCCTTTAATAGTCAAAGAAATTTTATTGAAGCATCCTTATTTATTGTAAATTTATAATTGTCCAAATCATGCCCCCTCCCCTTAATAGATTGAGACCTCATATCTTAAAACTTTTACATACTGATTTGATCAAGTGAGAAATGTGGCCCATGGGCCTCTTGTTGATAAACTTACCTGATCCACAGTCTAATTATAGTCATGTTAGTTTCACCACAGATACCAATTGTTCTTACATTACACATGTAGTATTTAATTTGCTGTAGTATGATAATCTGCTAAACTCTGAAAGATGAAAGGTTACAAATACATTCATAGGAGTGTTTATAAGTAAAGAAAGTTTTGATAAATTAGTATATGAGTGTATTCTTACATGCCATGTTAAATTAAATTTAGGATGACACTAAAACAACTGTTTTGTTATTCTTCAACTCACTTAAGCTTGACAGTCAAATAGAAAACTGCACAGAATTAAGCATTTTTATCAACAATTGATTTCCTGAAATTGGATATTGCAAAGCAAACATAAACAATTCTAGAACCAAGGTGCAATTTGCTTTGAGGTAGAGGGTGCCTCAATATTTTGAAGCCCTTGCTTAGCCCTGTAACACGCTCAATGTGAATTCGCTTTGATGCCACTCGTCTATCACGGATAACTTCCTCAGGATCCAGTTGTGACTTCCCTTTCAACATTGTTGGGGTGTTAACGTACACGTCTTGGGAAGCAAACAGGTCTTGCACCATTATGCCACGATCAGCCATAATACTATCTCCCTTTTCAAACATTTTCAGGTCTGGATTCAGAAGGTCAGAATTTTCAATTATCTGTCGATCACTTGCTGATCCTCCATATGCTTTGGATATGAAACTTACCGCACCTCTTGGAGTACAACCTATCATGGTTTTCAATGTATTTTTATGTTTGTATGCAGACCATGTTATACTCTGGGCATTCACATTTGATGGCTTGTTAATCGGAAGTTCTGTAGCATCAAGAATGACTCGCGTGTTAGGAAATTTCTTTCCAAAATCAGAAGGCATGAACTGTTGAATCACATCTCTTGATGGCCATATGCATAATTCTTTAAGTTGAAAATATATAAAATTTAGCCATGTGTTGAAGATACGAGATATGGAGGACTCAGAAATGCCGAAAAAAAGAGCTAACTCAATATCTTCTTTGGCCTGTCGGAGCTTCATCAGAACCATAAAAAGCTGATCTTTAGGATCCATAAGAGTTGTGTGTCGAAAAAGCTCAAAAACACAAGGTCCAAGACAATTGAAAAAAACATGACCTGCATAAAATCGCAAAAACCAGTGTAATACTTGATCATTTTGGGATCATTTTCAAAGTTTTGAACAGAAAATTTACCAAACGTTTTCAGCTCACACTGTACTCCCTGATTCACCTGCACAGGTATACCTTCATCGATTGCCTCAGTTGTAGAAGAGGATTGAATCTCAGGGGTATCGACCACTTCTATCGTATTCAGAACATCCGTACAATCGTGGTGCTCATTTGAAGCTTCTTCTCGTTTCCTTTTCCTCTGACACCTTGGACTCTCATCATTTGTTAATGAAAGGGCAAAAGGGAAAATGGAAGGCACTGCTCCCTTCTTCAGTCTTGGACATTCACCTGAATAACATAAAGCTGCTCAGAATGCTTTCTGTTTTCAACAATATTTACATTCTTTTTAGTTATGCATGTAGTTTTACAATGAAAGAGCTATACAATTTTCTCTTGTTAAGTTGCTTTTTTCTCCATTTCAAGAAATAATATAATTTGAATGAGTATATAATTTTGACTGAAAAGGAATATACATAATTAAATATCAATTCAGTAACTCAAGAAAAAAAGTAAAAAATCTGGGCAAATTTTAATTAATCCTGGCTAGCTATGCCTTAATAGGTACAAAACCACCTATCCTTTTCATATGCTCTGTAAATTCTGTAATATGAGGTCCTGAAAAATAAATACAAACCACAAAGCAAACAAAGTCAAAGCAACAGAACATAAAAATAAACAAACAAATAAACTTCTGCAATATTACACATTACACATTTGCACAACATTGTTTACATAAGACAACCTGGAGTTCGAAATAACAATATAATCAATTTTTTATAGCCCATTTATTAATATCATTACCGCTAGGCCTCTAATTTATACCAAATTATGGTTATACTAATGTAAACAAGATTTAAAATTAGCTGGCCAAAACTGTTCAACAGCTGATCAACAGCTATTGAGCTAATAAAGATTTCGGGAAAGTAGCAAACAGAATCACGCGATTGCGCATGAGCAGTTATTTCCCTTGCCGTTGCTATGCAGAATCTAAACAAACTGCAATTTCCCACTCGCTTCAACAAAACGCATCCAATTGAGTGATTAGGGTTAGGTTATATAGTTTTTAAAATTGGGGTTGTTTTATAAATCCACTATGTAATCTTTCTGTCTTTGGGCTAATTTATGTAATTTTTGCTAAAAAAAAGGCACTACTATGAGTGAATCATCCTGTCAATATTACACTTTGATTTAGTTCATGAAATTTATGCTTTACAAAGAACAGAAAGTTTTATAAATGAAAGTTCGGGTAAATCAACTCTAATGTCAAAACATGACGATTTTCAGCGCTGAGTTTAGGCAAGTTTATTGTAAAAGCGACTTACCGTTAACTACAGCTCGAACCTCCTAATGCAATGTTCAAATATTCAGAATATTTTTTTTCAAATCGATGATGATGCACAATTCAATCCATCGATAGTTATTAGCTAACACTTGTTAAATCCATGTATTTCTCACAAAAATCTCGCAATTTTAATAGCATTGCACTTTTAGTCCTATCAGGTAATTTATGACGCACATAAATATTTATGAGGTCATAAATTGATATGACCACATTCCTAAACAACGCAAGATGGAGATTTACTTCCTAAACAAGTACGTTATTTTATGAAATCTTTTAATTCTCATTTAAAAAATGTGTTTAAAAACAAGTTTTTTAAACCCAATTTTTCACAAGGAACACGAATTTGGGGTCAAATTTGCAATTTGTGGCTTCTTTTTCGATTTTGTCGATCGCTAACGCGATCATCTATATATTCAACAGCTATTTTAGCGCCATATTTATGGGGACCTAATAGTGTTCCAAGATTTCTATATAAATGTATCATTTAAATAGGTTTGATAAGTGACAATAATTTAATATTTATAAAAATTGGAAAAAGGAAATGTGACTGTTCTAACCTGATAGTGTGATCTTGTAATCTGTGTCTTTAAAGTGGGAGGAACACACGACGTTGTGCTTCCCAGGCTGCCATAAACGTTTTGTCTTTGGGCCCATTCTTCTTACGGCCACGCGCCATTTCTGTCTTATACTGGGGTCTTCCGGGAATTTATGGCCTCCAAAGTTTGTACAATTCGGTACACAACAATATTGTGGCATTGGAATCAAATATCAACAGAAATTGGATAAAGATTAGACTGAACTCATGCAATTTACTTTCGCTTCTTTTAGTAAGTCGTCCGAGGTATTCCGAAAGTATAACCTCTAGTACACGAGCGCCATCTATGCGCGGGAAATTTGATGGGTGAAAACCATTCGTTTTCACAGATTAATAATTCGAGATCTTGATTTGTTACAATGTCAGTCTTATGATTTTGGCAATCTGTGCTCTTGAATTTCATCACATATATGTACAGATACATCCAAACATTTTAATCAGTTAGTGCATTCTATTTATTTTGTTTCAGCAACTGGTCATTTCCAACCTCTTTCATAACTAATTCAACGTAATTTTATTTTAGAAATATTATGATTACACAGGACCCATATTCACTTTTACTATTTAGGACTTTCAATTATCCGAATATACACGCAACACAAAAACCTTTAAGATTTTTTGTTGTACAAATATCAGTACTAGCATATGGATTTGAAAATATGCACGACTGTATTTTTCTCATTTTGGACCGTAATATTTAATAAAAGGAAGGATGTAAAATACTACAATATTCTATTCTTTAAACATGTATTACCATATCCGATATATACAGATAAATAATTTTAATGAAAACATGGGGTTTACATTCTGAGGGAACGAATCATTTAAACTAAGAGATTGAATTATACAATCTGAGATAATGGATTGTGTAATTTGAGGGAACAAATTGATAATCTGTGAGAATGAATTGGCAATTTGTTATAACAGATTGTCAATCTGAGAGAACGGATTGTATAAATGGAAAACTCGGTTTACTTTTATAAATTTTTTAAAATTCTATGTCCCTTCATGGCTTTCATAGATTGCATACCTGCATGGCTGCCAGGGTTGTAAAAGGAAAGGAAACAATAGACTGCAATGTTACTTCAGGGCAAAATTCCTTGGGCAAGGCTGTTCGTGAGCATGGGAGTATGGATAAACCATCCAGTGAGTTAGACACCCCATGTATATGATGTACGATAATTGGAAAGTGTCTGAAAAATTGAGAAAATGGAAATTCTAACCACATACTTTATGCAGATTGGAAATACAACAGCAGTCTATAACAAGAGGCCCATGGGCCACATCGCTCACCTGAGAAGCTTTGACCATTCTGTTCTTTACCAGATTTCCCCCTTGTAATACATAATGCATCCCCACCCTACCCCACTGATCATAATTTAGACATTTGGAATCTACACTACCCCCAGGATCCTTCCATGTGGACATAAGTTTCAGCTTTTCTGGCTCAATGGTTCTTGAGAAGAAGATTTTGAAAGATTTTTTCTATATATTCCTATGTAAAACTTTGATTCCCCATTGTGGCCCCGCCCTTCCCCCGGGGGTCATGATTTGAACAATTTTGAATCTACACTACCTGAGGATGCTTCCAAAAAAGTTTCAGCTTTCCTGGCCCAGTGGTTCTTGAGAAGAAGATTTTGAAAGATTTTTCCTATATATTTCTATGTAAAACTTGGATTCCCCTTTGTGGCCCCGCCCAATCCCCGGGGGTCATGAATTGAACAATTTATAATATACACTACCCCAGGATGCTTCAACATAAGTTTCAGCTTTTCTGGATCAGTGGTTCTTGAGAAGAAGATTTTGAAAGATTTTTCCTATATATTTCTATGTAAAACTTGGATTCCCTACTGTGGCCCCGCCCTACCCCCGGGGGTCATGATTTGAACAATTTAGAATCTACACTACCCCAGGATCCTTCCAGATAAGTTTCAGCTTTTCTGGCTCAGTGGTTCTTGAGAAGAAGATTTTGAAAGATTTTTCCTATATATTCCTATGTAAAACTTAGATTCCTCATTGTGGCCCCGCCCTACCCCCGGGGGTCATGATTTGTATAATTTAGAATCTACACAACCCGAGGATCCTTCCACATAAGTTTCAGCTTTTCTGGCTCAGTGGTTCTTGAGAAGAAGATTTTTAAAGATTTTTCCTATATATTTCTATGTAAAACTTGGATTCCCCATTGTGGCCCCGCCCTACCCCCGGGGGTCATGATTTTAACAATTTAGAATCTACACTACCCCAGGATCCTTCCACATAAGTTTCAGCTTTTCTGGCTCAGTGGTTCTTGAGAAGAAGATTTTTAAAGATTTTTCCTATATATTTCTATGTAAAACTTGGATTCCCCATTGTGGCCCCGCCCAATCCCCGGGGGTCATGATTTGAACAATTTAGAATCTACACTACCCCAGGATGCTTCCACATAAGTTTCAGCTTTTCTGGCCCAGCGGTTCTTGAGAAGAAGATTTTGAAAGACTTTTCTTATACATTTCTATGTAAAACTTGGATTCCCCTTTGTGGCCCCGCCCTACCCCTGGGGGTCATGATTTGAACAATTTAGAATCTACACTACCACAGGATGCTTCCACATAAGTTTCAGCTTTTCTGTCCCAGTGGTTCTTGAGAAGAAGATTTTGAAAGATTTTTCCTATATATTTCTATGTAAAACTTGGATTCCCCATTGTGGCCCCGCCCAATCCCCGGGGGTCATGATTTGAACAATTAAGAATCTACACTACCCCAGGATGCTTCCATATAAGTTTCAGCTTTTCTGGCCCAGTGGTTCTTGAGAAGAAGATTTTTAATGAACCCACCCTATTTTTGTCTTTTCTTGATTATCTCCCCTTGTTAAGGGATTTGGCCCTTCATTTTAACAATTTAAATTCCCCTTCACCCAAGGATGCTTTGTACCAAGTTTGGTCAAAATTGGCCCAGTGGTTCTTGAGAAGAAGTCGAAAATGTGAAAAGTTTACGGACGGACAGACGGACGGACGGACGGCGGACACAATGTTATCAGAAAAGCTCACTTGAGCCTTCGGCTCAGGTGAGCTAAAAACAGATTGTTCCATATCTCGGCATTCATTCAAATACATGTAGATATTACGTGTTTAAATAATGTGTTTGTATGAATAATCAAGCATCATAAGTATCATGTGTTTCAAACACTTATTTTACAAAATATAAATAAAATGTTTATAAATTTGTATGAATGCAATATCATGAGAATGACACAAATGAAATTTGACTTTATTTTTTGAAATATTAGAAATACAGAAATTTTCAATACCAAAACAAAAATTTACCTTTTCATTTGTGTCCTTACATATTAATTGGCCTTCGTAGTTCATGGTGGGATTAGCAGGTGGGTATTCACAGATGAAAGTATTGTTGCATAAGGTGCCAGCACCCTAAAAATTCAATGTGAAAGTGGTACATGTACACACTGGTACACACATACTGTAAACAACTATCCATTATTATGGCAACTTTGATTTTACTTTGAACTTACGAGTTTCAAAAGCATCAGAGTTCAAAAGCAACACAAAATTGGCTGAAAAATACGAAATACGCACACTGAAATATGAAGATCTAGTACATGTGTACATTTAGCTTTCTTTTGAACGTGAACTAATTGCGTTTTAAACTTAATTTAGTCAAGCTAATACCAATTAGGCATGTCCGTATTATTTGATTCGTTGATGTGATGATCTTCGTCGTGAAATAATCATGAAAGTTGACGTTCAGATTTCGGATCACCATCATGCTACCATAGCGGAAACACGTGGTTATTTCAATTCGTATCAACTCATACTGTACAGTGATGAGTCGTATTTATTTATAAATGCGAGTTTTTGTATGGTGAAATTCGTGCCAATATAGATCTAATTAAATTGCAAAATAAGTATACAGTATAACAAGATACAATGATATTAAAATCTGTTTTTTAGTAAAGATCGACGTTTAGGGAATCTACAATTTTTCTCAACATAATGTATATCACTACATGAAATTTACATCATTACATGTGGATGAAAAAAATTAACATTTCATTTCACACAAAAGGCAGAACGATAGTATATATTTGTTTTTTGAAATTTATTTTTTGTATCGTGCATTTATTTCAGTAAAAAATATATATTTAAATGGTAAAAAAAGTTTTATAAATGAATTTGTTGTTTCGAGTAAGACGCAACAATGTCGACCTTGACGTTACATGTAAATATGGACCGATTATTCCATAAAAACTATGCGAAGGTCACAAATTCAAATTATCGTAATTAAGAAAATACTGAGCGTAAGAAGGCCTGTAAGGGCTTGTTGGAAAGGAAATTTTCTCTACTTTAATCAGCTTTATTTTGTTTTCCCTATTTCAGCACAGAAATAAACATAAAACTGAGCTTTGTTTAAACATTACTAATAAAATCGAGAAAAAACACATAAGTGCAAGATAATTCTTGTTTTTAAAATATACTTTAAAGTAATAACAATAATTTTTACATATTTTAAAAGCAGAGAAAATATTCTTTAAGAATATACCATACTTTCTTTTTAAAGTTAATCAGGAAAAAAATGTCAATCGTCTGGAAAATCGGCAATTGCTTTGGAAAATTACGCCATTTTCAAAAAGTAACGTTTGTCTTTACAACGTAAAATCGATTAAATACCGACAATCAAGACATAATCTTTTTAGATATTTTAAAAGTAGAGAAAATTTCCAAAAAGATGATATATAGTTTATATACCTTCATGCTACCATAAAATATATACGGAGATCTTATTTTCGCGAAGTCGTGTTTTAACGCGCCACCGGTCAATTTGACCGATACGGAAGTGAAGGGGTTAATCTTTTTTTGAAAAAACAATCAAGCTCATAATTTCAATGTTTCCGATAGTCCCAATAACACAAATAATAGTTGCAACAATAAAGTATCCCTGATTCCACATAAAACGGATTGGTTCTCCATTACTACTCCAATTGAATGCTGTGTAATTATTCTGATTCCTTAAATTAAACCATGAAGGATCAACGGTTGAAGAGTGATTTCGCTAATCATTTCCA